CCTAAAAACTTCACCTAAAGGATGGAGAAGTTAACATCATACAGTGGTTTAAATAGACAGCCAAGGGCCTTACAGGCTTAAATGAAATAATTGTCAAAACAGCTCTACAAGACAGGGATTCCATTTTAAAGCAGAGGAAGCTAAGGCCCAGAGAGATTAGGTAACCTGCTGAAGACCACATATCTAGTGTGATTTAAACTGGAATCCCTTGCTTACTCTATTATATCTAGGACCTCTCCCCACATTATCCAAGAGTCATCAATTTTTCTCCTTCTTTTACAGCAGTAATCCATAAACATTTGCTCCTGGAACAACAAAGGGGTCAGGAGCACCAACTCTTCTGCATTTGGAAATTGTGTATAACTTTCGACTCCCCCAAAACTTTACAGCTATTCCTCTGGTACCCATCAGGGATTGGTTCCAATATCCTCCAGTGGATACCAAAATCTGTGGATGCTCAAGTCCCTTATATAGAAGGGCATAAAACAATGCATACAGTTGGCCCTGTTGGTTGAATCTATGGATGCAAAACTCGGGGTTACAGAGAGCCGATTCTATATTTATTGAAAAAAATCCTCATATAAGTGGATCTGTGCAGTTCAAACCCATGTCACTCAAGAGTCAACTGTATACCTGATAGCTTCTCATTACCCCTCACTGCCACTACTCTAGTCCAAACCACCACCACTTCTCATCTGAACTAAACCACTGCAACAGCTTCCAATCTTATCTCCTCTCCAGCCTATATATATTAAAGAAGTGGACAGAATGAACATTCAAATTACATCTTTCCTGTGCTAAATAAATACACTCTAATGTCTTCACAGTGTGCTTTAGTCAAAATGACTTCTTATTTATCGATCCTCAAATACATCAAGCTCATTAATATCTCAGGGCTTTTGTACCTGCTCTTCCCTCTTTTCTCAGATATTTGTGTAGCTCACTTATTTCATTTGGCCTCTAATTAAATGTCACCTGCTTGGGGAGACCTTCTCTAACCATTCAGTTAAAAAACACAAGATCATTCTCTATCACATCTCTATTTTTTAAAATATATTTTTATTGATTTCAAAGAGGAAAGGAGAGGGAGGAAGAGACAGAAATATCAATGATGATAAAGAATCTTTGACTGGCTGCCTCCTGCATGCCCCCTATAACCTGGGCATGTGCCCTGACAGGGAATTGAACCCTGACCTCCTGGTTCATATGTGAACACTCAATCACTGAGCTATGCCAGCCGAGCCTCTGCTTTATTTTTTCATAGTACTTACCAACATGTGATATTTGTTTACTGATAATTAAAATAGTTTTTATTTGTAATCATAAGTATAAAATATAATATTAAAACAGAAAACAAAACTAGAACAAGTTATACTTTAAAAGCTAGTGATTGAGAAAAATGTAGACTTGGAGAAAAGAAAGTAAACATGGATTCTAAAAGACACTTCTAAATACTTTAAAGAAATATATGATCTAAGGTACTTAATATTGGATCTATTTTCAGTTAAAATGTGTAACCACCCCCTTTATTTTATTACTACTAGCAATATTCTTACACTTTTAAGCTATGATTAAGATTATTATATATACACATGGAATGAAGAAAAAAGTAAAAATTTTTAAAGAGCGACAGTAGGAAGGTATAGTCAAAACAAGGGGAGGAAGTCAAACAGAGTATGAAATAGGAAAGGGAAATAAAAAAAATGTCAAACCTCCATTTCAGAACCTGGAGAATTATTACCTATGCAGAGAAACGGAAAAATACACACACACTCACAAATATATGAAATTAAAACAAACCAAATAATTCAATAATAAGAGGAAACAATTGTAGAAAGGCGATAAGAGGGGAGGATGATGAGAGAACGCCTTTCAGGCTACATAAAATTGAAGATAGATTAGAATAGGAGAAGGGTATCTATGTGAAGGGTAGGGAAAAGGCTGAGGGTGGAGAGGTACAGGAAGAGGAAAAGAACTGGAAAGACCAGAGGCAGAAGAGCTTAGCACTTTGAAGAGATGAAGAAAGACCAATATGAGTGAATCTCAGGGAAAAGGGAGAGACTGTGTCTCCAGTTGATGTAGGAGGTGGGCGGGCCTGTGCTAAGTAATGCAAATCACTGTAGGGCATAACAAAGACTATAACGTCTTAAAAATTGTAAATAGGAGTGACACAATCAATCTATTTTTAAGATCACTGTGAGGGACTGAGAATAAATTGGAGGAGTACAAGAGTAAAATCAGTGAGAACATCCCATATAAATTCTTCTCAAATAATTAAGAGTTCTCTTCTATCCTTTACTTCACCCATTTCTCCTTATATCCCACTTATTTAACTCCTCCCAAACGACTGCCTCAAATTTAACCAAACAACAAGAAATAAGGAAAGTACAGTTTTCATGACTTTTTACACAACTTGAATTTTATTAGAAACTATCAGATTGCTGCTACAAAAATATTACTTCTAAATAATATTTAAAAATTAGTCAAGCAAGGCCTTCACTAGCTATACACCTAGAATAAAAGAAGCACACACAAAGAGCCACCCACCAACTCGTCAAAATGTTTTTAACTGACCTTAAAATTTGGAGAAAAGTATCGATTGGCCTTGTCTTTATTTGCTTTGTCGAGATCATTTTTTGTTAAAGTGAGTACTAGATATTCCTTGTCATTATCTGATCGCTCTATACTGCAAATACTATCAATTTCTTGATCACATAGACTTCCATTTTCTACTTTTTCTGACTCTTCCTCTGGTCCTGGTATGAAGAATGTATTTACCCAAAAATGAAACATTTTGTCCTAAAAAATAAAATGACATATTTTTAAAAAGAAAAATGTTACCTATATTCAACATTTGCCACAAGAATTCAAAATAAGCCATGTCATTTAATATTTTGAATAAAGGTAAACACAAAGACTAATACTTAGCAATCTGCTGGTATCTAATTCACATGATTTTTCTTTTCTTCACATTTTAAACCAAAAATGTAATTCCACAAGTTATAAGATAGCTTACTCTTGCTCTAAAACCTTAAGTAAAATATCTCCTTTCTAGTCTAATACTAGCCTTTAAAAAAAATGTTTTGAGTTTGCATGTATGTATGTATTTAAAAATTCAGAAATGGATTTAATTTCCTCTATGTTTCAAAAAGCTATTACAAAATTTACTTTAACAAAAGTTCTTGAAGTATTCAGGTACAACTTCCCAATGAAGCAAGGCAGATACATTTTTACTGCTATGGCAATACAAACATTAAACAGCTCTAGTTTCTTAAGTAACAATGAAAGTTTGAAAAAATTCATAATAAAATATGGATGGGAGGGGAGACAGTAAGTACTTCTGACTTTTTTGTTATAAAATGCTTATTTTTAAGGAATCACTTCTTACTAATATGAGGTCTTCTTAATCAAAAATGGCAACAGAAGTTCATTACTTCAAACCTTTCTTAACCAACCAAGAAAATGCTCCCTCACTTACTAGAATTTGGTCTGCATGGATCACTTGACAATTAAAGATGTACAGCCTTGTGATATCTTATCTGGTCATTTAAATATTTTATTCTAAATCTTTAAGTTATCCCACCCATAAAAGATCTTAAGTATTATATCTTAAATGTCTTTGTAGCTTTTAACAGTACTCAGCACTGCCTTTTAAAAAATATTTGTTAATTTTAATTATTTTACCAAAGTCACTTAATTAGTAACTACACACATATTTTACTTAGAATCAGAAGAAAATAAGCTAGTAATATTCAAATTTCCAAAAACGTGAATTCCATATAAATACACTGATTATACTAAACCTGCTTTTGTTTAAATCACTGCAAATATTTATAACAGGAAGAGAAAAATCACATAAAATGAATGTAAGTAATCCAAAATACACATATATTATAAGTATTTAATCGAATCTTTAATTTTACATGCATGTGTTAATGTAATGCACAGGTGATAACTGAAATGTGAATAAGCACACTCCTAAAGGTACAGGGAAATAGTGATTCAGGTGCCTGTTTGTTTTTAAAAGCAAAATATAAGATTTTAAGTGTACTTGTCTTACAATGAATAGAAGAAAAAATAACTACCTTAATTTTAGAACATTTGCTAACACTTCTTTGATTTTTTTTAAATAGTTATCATCTTCTTTTTATAGGTTTTTACTGATTTTTAGAGAGAGAGGAAGGGAGAGTGATAGAGATAGAAACATCGATGAAAGAGGAACATCACTGATCGGCTGCCTCCTGCACGTCCGTCCCGCCTCCACTAGGGATTGAGCTCACAATCCTGACATGTGCCCTGAACGGAAATCGAACTGGTGACCACAACGGCCAGGACTTCTTGGATTATTAAAAAATAGTTTTCAAAGTTACTGAAATATATTTATATAGGACAGGTAAGAACTAGGTTTCTGGTGAAAAAATCAGTTTAACATTTTGTGATTTCCTAACTACTTGGATTCTAAATAAAGAAAATTATATTTCTTCTAATAAGTCAAAGTAGAGTTAAAAATTTTTGTAGTAAATGAAACTTTCTCTTATTTTCTTTTTAAAAAAAAGCTAAAAATCAGGAAAACTAAATCAATCCTATTACTGAAAATTTCTAAAAATTGGTAATGTGCTATACAGATGTTTAAAGAGGCAGTAACAATATACAAAAGCTAGTATTTTTGTTCATCACCAATTAAAAATTTTGTACATTAGCTTCATCTTAAATGTTCACTTACATTTTAAAACAAGATAGTTTGTTTTAAAATGAGCTTACATTTTCTAAATATAGATCAGTAAGACGCAAACCTCACTTTTTTAAAGCTGTATATTTAAATAATACCACATTTTTTTTCACTTTATTACTTCCTCTTCATACCTATTTCTCTTCTAGCTAAAACTCGAAATACTTAGTAAATTTGAGGAAGCAAAATATAAAATGACCTAGTTGTAAGAAACAGAAACCAAAATGGGGGAAAGTGGTTTGTGTCATTATACAAGACCATGAAACAGATCTTATTTATACATACAGACCAAGTTTATTTGAAACTCATGATCCCTTGCTAACTTCTTCTCAGGTAATTAATCACCCTTCTAAGAGGATTATAACTGATTTCACGTAGTATGTATACAATCTTTAGTATTTTTACAAAATTTCTTTGTATAACTCAAGTTAAAGGAAATTCATCTCAAATTACATATAACTTTAAAAGGTCTTCTGTCCTTTGCCTTCTAATAGGATTCTTTACCATTATAATGGCTCATCAATGCCATAGTAAGCAATGCATGCAGAAATCTAACAGAAAAACAATTCTAATTCATTAGATATCAGTCATAAAATGAAATAAACCTGGAGCTCCAGTGGCGCAATCGGTTAGCGCGCGGTACTTATAAAATGAAACAAACCTTTTAATATCTCCTTACAGATTGATTTCTGCCTAACCAAATACTTTACACAAAAGATCTGAGGTTACTATTCAAGGTACGGTTATTTTTTATATTTTTCCCAATAAAAGTAAAGTGCAAACCTTCTTTAGCTTGTTCTGTTTGTGGAAGAACTCTACTTTGATGTCACCACACACAGGCAATGGTTGAGGGAACTCAAAGTACATGAACTTGTCTTCCCGACGTGTGGGTCCTGAACTGGAGGAATATATCTTCACCTTGAGCTGGCAGACCACAAAATGAGGATCTGCATGGTTAAATACATATAAGTATCATTTCACTGGAAATGCCTTTAATTAGCAAACTGTCAAAAACTATTTTAATTATTAATATTAGCAATATATACAAAATAGTAATTCTGCTATTATAATCCTGATATAAAACAAATTAATAAATATAAATTAGGTCAAAATGTAATCAATACAAGATTTTCCCTAATCTGAACATTCAACATAAGGTTCTATTGCTGGCATGAAAGTCAATTCTATTTCAAAAATAGTAAGTCCCAAGATTAGACTTCTAGCACTATAGTAACATAAAAACTTTAACACTAAAATGATGTTAAGAATAACTTTCTGGCACATCTATGAACTGTAAGTTTTAAAAGTTATTTTGCTGCAATATTTCAAAGTCTCTATCATGTAACAAAATCCACAATATTCAAATCATTACATGTTCACAAGAGGAAAGAAAAATATACTCTACAAAGTTATACTAAATTCCATAAACGTAAGTCTCAATATTTATAAAACT